TCTCTCTCTCTCTCTCTCTCTCTCTCTCTCTCTCTCTCTCTCTCTCTCTCTCTCTCTCTCTCTCTCTCTCTCTCTCTCTCTCTGTGTGTCTGTTTTTCTGTCCCTTCCCCTCTCCCTCTCCCTCAACCTGTCTCTTCAAAGGTAAGGCTACCACTCCGTTTCCCCTCTGCTTCTCCAACTCCAACGTCCACTTACTCGACGCCTTCCAAAACTCCCACATAGCGCTCCCTGTCAACCTCTTCCTTCTCTCTCTCTCTCTCTCTCTCTCTCTCTCTCTCTCTCTCTCTCTCTCTCTCTCTCTCTCTCTCTCTCTCTCTCTCATATACTATAATATGACCACGATTCAAGAAGAAAAGAATTCCAAGTGAGCTGTTCTAACAGAAAGATGAATGTCTTGGAAAGGATATGAAAGACATATCCCCAAGCAGAATAGAACAGATACTACCTAACCGCATACTAATGCTGATGTTTTGCAAAGCACAGGCCTCTCAGAATGACATCTGTGCCCGTGAGTGGGTGCATGCACTATCCCCTCCCGACCTCTCAAGAGCTGCAAGCCATGATGATGCGCGAACGAGGCCCGAAGAAACACACAATGCTGCCTGCCTGAATAAACAAGCAGAGCCACCCGGATGGAGTGGAGGAATGCCGTCGTGACACCATTCACCTCTGTTTCTATTTTATGTACTTATTTAAGAATTTTCTATGGAAGTCGTTCCGGATGGTATCGTTTATAAACCGCTTGGTAGCCTTGGGCTCCCCCCTGGCCTGATTCTTGAACACCACGTCATCATCCCACCGTCGCTTCACTGAAAAGTTCGTTGGATTCAGCAATGGGTTTCCACGGACAAGTTCCGACTCCCTCGTCCTGATCTCCTCCTCAATCGCTAGCCGCTCTTTTCGCGCCTTCTCCTCCGCTCTCTCTTTCTTGATTCGTTCCAGTTCTGCCAGCAACTCTGCCGCCTCATCTTCGTCGTCATCGTCGTCGCTGCCGTCTGAATCTGCACTATCCACATCTGAATCATCCGCATCCTCGCGTTTCGGCACAAGCTTTTCTTCCACGTCTCTTCTCCCCGGACCAACATCCAACAACAGAGGCGGATGCTTCCTCTTATCCTCACCCTCATTGTCTTTTCCTACGGCATACTTCCTCTCCCTCTCGTCCAGCTCTTCGCGAAGGTTCCGCCGCTTCAGCTCGTCCTGAGTGTCTTGGCCCTCCTTCCGTGGTTTCAGTTTAGTGTGGCTCGCAAGGTCCCTTGAAGAATACCTCTGACTGGGCCCAAACGTACGCACACCCCCTTGTTCCTCCCCACCCTTGGCAGGTGCCCATGTCGGGCGTGCGGCAGTCGTCATGGTGACAAGCACACGCACACAAATAAACCTCCTCAAAATACCTCCTCACTCACGTAAGCCCTTCTATTTACCGCCAGCAGGTACTTCTGCCAAGTGGAAATGGATATGTCTACGAACTCCTTGCACACGTATGCGTGAACCCTCTGCCCGATCACTCGACCACCTTTCGCCGGAGAATGAACGTCCCCAAATTCTCTCTGAAAGGAGCTTTCTCTACGCCGAAGCTATCCCCCCAGTTGCCGAACACTGCGAATTTCACCAGATATACACATATCCTTCACCCCCCCCCTTTCCTTCCGTCTGCTTCACACCCCTCCTCCACTCTGCTTCACCCCCGCACATAAACATATGCACACACAAACACACACACCAAAAAACGAAAATTACCAGAATGCAGAGATTTCCGAATAGAAACCCACTTCAAGCATCACGGTGATATTATCTAGCAGTGATGTGATGCAACATATGCCTCAGGGAACTTGTCTTTTGGATCGCTGCTCGTGAATTTAAGTTCTGGCCGACTGGGCCCCTCGCTGCTGGGGCATTCATCTGGGGTCTAATTCATAAAGGCCCCTTTAAGTCGCTTCATTTGCTCGCAAGGATGACTTTCAAGTACAATCGAGGAAACTTCCAAGAACGTATTGCAACACCCATTGAGTGAACAGCACCTCACATGATAGAAAAAAACGACGACTTCTCATATCAACAGCGAAACTTACATTTCGGAAGTTCATCACGCAGATAGATAGATGCGCCACAGGTGTCTGGTAACTGTTTAAACAAAGTCAGAAAATTCTGCCAGAGATCGATCGGCCACACTTCCAGTTAGTTCCTGCTCAGCAATATTTCCTACGACACAGCTGGATATACCACGATTATCCCTGATTCCTTCGGAGTTTAGCATGCTATATCATATACCTGCACAGCTGGATAGAAACATACATATAACCATATTCCTTCGGAGTTTGGCATGCTATAGTCTACCATTTTCCTTCGGAGTTTAGCATGCTATAGTCATTCACGCCAAGTGCTCATGACTAGCTCCATACCGTATCAATTCAAAATTGCGATCAAACTAAGCTACTTGACAGACCTTCCATACTCAATCTGCAATCTCGTTCAATAAATCCATGGGACATTGAAAGATATCCTCCTGTACACTACCGGTTGTGAGATTAAGAGGCCCACATAAACGACCGAACCCCAATTATTGCATGTTCGCCCTCTCGCATACATATCACTGAGCACATCTCTACTTCATTGAACACAGGAGCAACAACAACATTGTCAATCACCAAAATAAAACACCATAAAAAATGTCGATTACCCACCACATGGCCCAGTGCCCAACTGCTGCACCCATTACTGATGGCATCAAAACTTTTCACGACTCTTTCAAAAACAACAAGAGAAGCCGTCGGTATTGCAATTAGCACGGCATCCCTTGAAATTGTCGTTACCCGGTCCATATCATTAATACCTGGCGCATCAAACAACAGCGTTGTATAAACGGCCTCAGCGATCTTGGTGGATAAAGTTAACGTCATCCACAGCCACGTGCCATGTACGCAGCCACGCACAGCCACGTCCCATGTACGCAGCCACTGTCAAGAGTAGCAAAGATGTTTCTTACATCATTGGGCATTTGTGGCTCGGAGCTCGAAGTCGATGTAGACATGTACTAAGACGCACAGGTAGTACCAAAAACATAGGATGGATTATTCGGCCGAAGACAGAGCAACCCAAATGCTTCTGAATGTCTGACCAAAACCAAGAAAACGAGAGCCAAAAACACCCAACATTTGCAAAAGTAGAACCTTCCCCAGATCGAAACACTTGCAAAGAATCCCTCACAACTTCCACTACGACGATTGCCATAGCCTTAGCTGTATCTCAACCTCAGGCGAAAGATGGTGATTAGGTAATAATCATCAACGAGATACCTCATCAGTACTTGTGCTTCATCATCGGTTGCATCGAAAATTCCCATCAGGAATTCGCAATTCCCAGGGTACAGGCGGCCAGGTACATCTCAATCAGCAGTGAGCACATCCGTCATCAATCAATCAATCAATGGACGCATCTGGATATGCGCTGCACATATGGGCAATGGCCTCAGAGTTGGCCAGGTACAGTAGACACGCATCCGACTTACAACAAGCCCTGTATATAAGACCACTGGCCCCGGTGTTCAGCAGGCAGAAAGTCACGTTCCACAAGGTCCATTGCAAACTCATAACGCAGGCCTCAAGATATGCCCTTTACAGGATATGCATAAAGTCCCCATTTATCCAATGGATCGTAAATTTATCTCTACAGATAACTGGCCTCACAACCACCGTTCCGTTCTAAACAATACCCACAAGCGGTTAATGAATGATCCTGAAATTAGGGTTTCGGGGTCAAATTTTGTGTTTTTTTGGATTTTTGTTTTTTGGCTGTTTTTGT